TGGCACTCTATCCGATCATCCAGGACCTCTGAGGAGCTGTGGTAACCCAAAGAAAATGCCAGGAAAAAAAAGATAAAATAGATGTGATGAGAGTCTGGATGTTTGTAAAAAATACAGAATGCAGAAAAACTAGGTATCCCTGAAATAATCATTTTTCCTTATTGTGCAGTAAGCACCTTCTAAAGGTTACTGCTGGAAACACACATCAGTTAACAATTATGTCAGGGTTTGCACTTATGCATGAAGATGAAGGTTTCTAGATTTCTTTCAATATATTCATCTATTAATTGATTTCTCTATACTGTAAATCAAGGCAGCAGCATTTTGACAATCTTCTGCATATGTGCTCCTCCCTTCTAGAAGACTGGCAACTATTTTGGTTGGCCATGTGTGCACACACATAGCAGATGTATGTAAGAGAGAGACAGGTCCAGACAAGATGGCGGTTTTTGTCTTAGCCACAGTCCCAAGAAAGCAATGGAGAATGACCTGCCATCCACTAGCATCTGACCAGTGGGAAGCTAGCAGTATCTGCTATGTGCTGGATCACAGAAGGGAGAAGAAAGTGACCAAAGTTTCTGCTGCTCTGCTGGAGACTCTCACTTTGATTAAATAAAATTTAATAAAAAACAAATATTACAGAATGACACCCTCTGACAAAACTGCGCCAAATCTGGTAACCAAATCTTGTGCCGACTTGCAAGGCCTGACAGAAGTACCAAGTATGAACCACAGATAAACTAGTTTGCATTTTAAAATATAGCCAGATGCTGAGGTTCAGATACCATTTGATATTTTCTGAAACAGAATCGTCTGCCGACTAAGCACATTCTCAAAAAATCTTTAAAAAGTTCCCGGGAAAAATATTTTCAGGAATTACTCACATGTGGCAGGGGACATCTCCAATGAAAACGCCAATCTCGTTAGGCCTCCCTGTACGCAGGTTGTGGCCAGTAAGAGTGAGGAACGTTCCACCAGCTTTTGGACCTCTCTGGGGGAATATCAGCTCCAGAACTGGATCCTGGATGTCAAGGAGATTTAGAGTTCAGAAGCCGACAGCAAAAACAAAAGATTAATACATATGCACTACACTTTATAATTAGGCTTCACTCAATATTTCTTTAGTCACCTTTTTCCTAGTATTGGCTGCACAAAAGTGATTACTTTAAACCAACTTAAAAGCTGAACTGACTTTATAAGCATGGCACAGTGGAGTAAAAAATTTTGTGAGAGGAAAAATACATATTTTAAGATTTCAGTAACAATTAACTCAAGAGATGAGCACAGCTTAGCTGTACTATATAGTTCAGAGAAAGAGATGTGTTCTTTCTCTAACGTGTTTCTCTCCCTTTTCTCCTTTTTTATTATTTTCAACTACATTCCATTGACTTGGAGATGTAATTGTTGGATAATTTATGTTGCTGGTGTTCACTCCTGGTCCTGAAAGGTTACCCTTTTTTGTGGTTTTTAATTCACCCTGGACTTAGTAACTCGATCTGCATCAGTTCTTTGCTTATTGACAATTATACACCACACGTTTCTGAAAAACCTTCAGGAACAGTAGTGAATGGCACTGATGACTATGTCACTCAACATTTATGAAGTTCTGAGATTTTTGTTATTGTTAGCAAGACTGTGTGATTTGATCATCTGTATCAAAGAAATACAACGTTCAGAAAACTTTCACTTTATGTCATTAAACACAACTCTTCTTTTTTCATTTTCTATCTGATACTATGTAAACATATGTTTAATCAAATCAAAGCGTAATAATCTCCTTAGCTGTGAATTTTTTTTCAGGACCTAAAATAAAATAACCAAAACAGTAATGAAGTAATAATTTCATTAAAAAAAACATTTTACTTACTGCAGAGATGTTTCTAAAATCTGTGTTTTGTAAAATTCCTATGATTTTCTATATACTGTACAGTTTTGTATACTTTTCACTATTATTCTTGTCATCTTGATTGTATACAAAGAGTGACGTTATGTGAAAGAAGACGGGTAAAACACTAATTAAACACTGTTTTTCCTGTCAGCATTGACTTCTGCATTGACAGTCGCTTACAGTATTTGCCTGTACTGGAACAGAGCTTTAAAGAAAGCTCAGAACTGACACATTGGGGTCCTGACTCCTCCCTTACCTGATAGCTGAACTTCTGGCTGGAGGTACCATAACCACCTCCGTTCACCTCCACCGACACCTGGCCAGTCTTCGGCTCAGTGCTGGCTGTCGTCACG